ATCCTCCTATCCAATGGGTACCGGGGGCTCTCTCACCGGAGGTAAAGCGGCAGGGGAGTGAAAGTGACTACTCACCTCCAGCTGGTGCCGAGGCCAAGAAAATGTGGATCTACACATCCATTCCCCCATACGTCTTCATGGAGTAGTGCTTAATTTCAGTTAAGCACAAGGACAACTTTACCTTACCTCTGCCTTGACGCGATGTTCTGGCCGTGTTTGTAGGATGCATGTTTTCTTACCGTTAAATGTGTAATTCCAGTATTTCATAACATTTCTTTGTATTTCGTATATCAACCCAGCGGTTTAATTAAAGTATGTAATGAGAAGAACATGGTACACTCTTAACCAGTTGCACCACGGAATACCTAGTTATCCCATATAGTAACTATTTGAAAGCAGTTAATATATAAAGTAGTGAATTTTTCACATGGTATTCGGTTGCATGTGACCAGACGAAGTTAGGTAAAGTACAGAAGCCGTAATTGCATTGTACACATTACTTGCCTTCAATTAGCTATTCTGTGGAATAAGTACTTAAAAGTACACAAAGAAATATTGCAAGGCAAATTATAATTCGGAGGAGTGGGGCAACCTTTGGAGGTCATGTGTAATTTAGTGTGGGTAAAGGTAAAGTTGGCCGGTCACGGTAGCCGAGCGGTCTAAGGCATGTACTGTCTCCGCTCGCTTGGAAACCGGGATCATGGGTTCGAATCCCACTCAGGGCATGGATGTTTAGTTTGTGTGTGTGTGTGCGTTTTTCTGTATGTGTGTGTGTGTGTGTACAGGTAGAGGCCTTGCGACGAACTGATCACCCGCCCAAGGAGCCCTACCGAATGTGTAAGATCTAGAAAAACCGAAGTGAACGGAGAAGTTCATGGAGGTAGGCCTAGGCCCACTGGGGCTGTAGTGCCAAGGGGGGGAAAAAAAGGTAAAGGTACTGTTCTAACTAATTAAGCACTACGTGTTGAAGACGTATTGGGGTGGGGATGTATAGATCCACATAAATTAGCGTGGGTATACATTGTAATTTGTTGAGCGTAGTTGGATGCATATTTTATCATTTGTGTATGCATAAAAATCCTATGTCTAGTGCGATGTGGATTGGTTTGTGTGGACACCACGTAACATGAATGTGAGTCTGCCTTACGCAGACTGTGCTCGCACTAATGCTTTATGTTACGAGTTGGATAGCAAATGGGCGAGTTGTGACATCGGATAGTGATCACCACGGTTACACTATTACTTGTTTTATGTTACATCTCATGACGTAATACGTCACTGTGACAGTAAAAAATTAAGTTGAGATTTATTGCCTCATTTCCGATGTCACCATTTCTTAACAGATGTAAAAAACTATCCCTGTAACGGGCCATGGAGGGCCATAGGGCTGCGAGACGTTGAAGGTCCCACATTATCTAGACAATCGACTCACAGATGGCGGTAAGTTTGTCGGCCTTACGCGTCGGCCGACCCCCCAGGAAGATTCCCGGTACTCATTTCTGTTAGAGGCTGAGTCGACCCCAGGGCCATAGCGCTGCTGGAAAGATTAGGTAAATTAAAAAAAATCCACCTCATCGGGGCTCGAATCCGCGACCTTCCGGCTTGTAGCATAGTGCCTCAACCAACTACGCTACCGCATGCCTCTTAACGAATGTGTAAACATGATTTTGACTTTCGTTAAGGTTTTAAAGTAAACTCGATATTGTGTTTCTTTCTGCACTCCTTTATAGCTACAGTATGTTCTTAAATCATCGCCCTAGGTTTGCGTGTCGTCAGCTGAATTTCTTCCGTGGTTTGTTATGTTACCATCACAAATCCCATCTGTTTTCTTGCGGAAAGCAGGTCGATAGTGACCTCTGCAATGGAACGGGATACATGGCGGGTTCTGTGCTTGTGAGTTGGCAGTAGAAGTGCTGTATTACTGTCTTATGTAATGTAATGTAATGTAACTTTCCCGAATAGGTATTTAATTGACAGTCTGACTCATTCTTAGAAGGGGAAGTTGTGAGCCCCATATTTTCCTGTAATATTAAATACCGTTTAGAGAAAAAATATTACTATGAATCAAGATACAGATGCAGATACTGAGAACCCTCACTTACATGTGTGCGAAATTTCGTGCCCCTGGAGCTTGTGAATGTCTAGAAGAAATGCATCGAAATTTGTTAAAATTGACATTTCTAAGATATGACGTACACGTTCCCATAAGTAGACTCCCAGGTTGAAGATTGTTAGTACCAAATCCCGTCGTTGATCCATATTCTTTGTCAGTTCAGTTCAGTTCAGCCTTTTCTCTAATAATAATAATAATAATAACAACAACAACAACAATAATAATAATAATAATAATAATAATAAAGCGAACTATACCAGCCGAGCGACCGCCGCTTGTCGGCGAAGTTAGTGCCAAATTTGAGGCTAGAGGATGTCGTGTGGTCAGCTCAATGGATCCCCACGGCCGTTAATCTCGGTTTTCTAGACCGGAGCCGCGATTTCCTTGAAATAGCTCCTCAGTTATCCTCACGAGGTTGAGTGGACCCCGTTCCAGACCCACTACTTTTCAGAAAATCTAGTAGCACCGGGAATCGAACCCGGGGCCTCTAGATTTGTAACCAGGAACTCTGACCACTAGACCACAGAAGGAGGTTCATCTTCTTTAATATCAACTTTAATAACATCTTCAAATCTTCCCTCTTCTTCCCTTTTTATGCCTTTCAAGTTTCTCCTGCGTCGCCCTAAAACAGTGTTTCCCAACCGCCGGGCCGCGGCCCGGTACGGGCTATGGCATTAATTATACCGAGCCCTGGTCTTATAGAAAAAAGAATTTACCGAGCCACAGCCTGACAAAGTTTGAGAACCACCGCCCTAAAACACCCTTCCAGTTAAACAGTGCCAGGTTTCCTAACATCTTTCACAAATCACGTTTTGTAAGAAATCACGTTAACTTTGAGAGGAACTGAAAGTCAGTCTCTTTTACCAGTCTACTAGAAGCTACAAGTAATTAACTGCATAATTTAGTTTTCTATTTTGGTACATAATTTCTATCAACATATTCGTATTATTTCAAAATGTTTAGGTATAGTCTCAGAGGTTCGCAACTTCGCTGTATTACTCATTATTAACATAAATTATTTGACATATTATTGATATACTTCCATATAAAATTTCACAGTGGCTTATTACCTATTGCGGTGAAACGTAATACTACATAAGCCTCTACATTTACTTGATACACCCATATGCACCATCATTTTATTAAAGCTTTGGAATAAACGCCTGATAATCAGACCAAGACTTCAGAAATGTATTCACTCCTTGAAGATACTTCGGGACACGGTTTTGGCCACTCATCGATTCGGTTGTTAGCGTAAGTTATGTAGGGCCTGCCGCTGTTTTGTATGAACTGATCATTTTTGTTCACACTCAGAACACTTTGTCAGGTTTTGACGAATATTTGAGTGTTAACACTGCTTGTAAGCATGGCCGATTTGTTTGTGATACAAACAGCGCTTCTTTGCTGTCATCTTGAGGGAAATCTGTAGATCAGTACAGGAGAATGCTGCATGGAGCACAGTGCTTTGCTAAGGGAGAGCTGAGTCGGGTCTTCCCCAGTTAGTAGCGTCGCTTCTGTTCTGTGTGGTGTCTAGAGATTTCGTAAGTTGACATTGAAAGATATCGTCAGAAATAGAGTCAGTGTCTTTGAGACACAGTCATAAGAGTAACGCGTCCCTTTTGCCTCGTTCGAACTGATTTGTAGCTGCGGCGTACTTTATGGTTGGACACAGATTTGAAGTCAGCTATACTGCACTGATTGTTCCTGGCTGTCTGAGCATTTTTACGAATTCAAACCGAAATTTACATATACTTTAATGTAGCCTGTCGATACTATAATTTCCCAAAATCTTAATTTTTGATCTCCGTGACTCGTTTTCCACAGTCCTGATTTTGAAGTTGCGGTGGACCACATAAAGTGAAGTTTGTATTAACATATGAGCCCTCCTACAATCTACAGTGGGTTGGTTAGGGTTGTTTGAATAGTCTGAAATTTTAAGTAGTATCAGAAAAAGGAGTTAAGTATGTCGGGACGCACCTAGTTGCAATGGATTCTTTATTTCCCGATGTAGCTAGGTGAGGTTCCATTACCTCTGTTTAAGAGATTCATCAAGGTATAAAATCTTGGGATATTAAGTTGAACGGGGATTATGTTCGTTACATGTCAATAATTTTCGTCTGAGGAAATTTAAGTTGACTNAACTCGCTTGCTGAGTTGGGACTGATGGCACGCACCAGTATCGGTAGTGTATAGAGACTGGTAGAATATCACAGAGGGGACGTACAATAGACCACTGGTCGCGGTGCATGGGGAAACCCACCCCTCCAATAATAATAATAATAATAATAATAATAATAATAAGTTGACTCGTTAGTTTTGGTTGGCTGATAATTAAAATTCGTGTCAGTATGACTTGTCGAAGCTGCGACAGGCAGGCATGGAGTGCGCATGCTTCACGAACCTGCTTGTTTTTATGCGCAGGCGTACGTTTCTCTCGAAGCAGTGTAATTATGCGTCCGAAAGGAAGGCAGGAGGGCTGGTGTTTGGCAGCTGTTCCCACGATGTCCTTCACGTAAGTGAACGAGAATCCTAGCCTGTTTAGAAGTACCAGAATTGCAACTGCGCGAGTCTTTGGAATTATGTTTGAGAAGGAAACGGAAGACAGGCTGTATCTCTGTACTCAGTTATTATTTACAAACATTAGAAAGGCGTGTCCCACTCGGGGTCTCCGTTCAATTCTCAGAACATTCATGTGAATATTGTGCAAGATTAAGGATTCTTGATACAGACTGAATTGATGTTTTTTTTTCCCTCGTGAAATATTAAGTTATTATTAACAGCAAGTGGTATGGATGCGTGTACATTATCATGATAATGATTAATGTAAGCGCTGAAACATTCAGTTGTTTACGAAGTGTAACTTGGTGATTTGCACTCTTGTTCACAGAGGACGGCAGCGCATCAGCAGCAGATAGCAGCGCAAAGTGAGTAATACTTTCTCGTTCGATAATGCAGCTCCCTGCAACGTTTAGATGGAAATCCGACAGGGATGTACAAACTACGGCTCCAGGCCTCATGCTAATCCCGAAAGAATTTTTTGTGTATAGAAGTGAATACATAAGTTTTGGCTGATTTTGTTGGTATATATTTTCTTCATCTTTTGCCTTGGTTATGTCAGCGCACTGTACTGTAACAGTTTACTTATTCTGGTGTAGCCGAAGTGGCGATGCTGAAACTGAGATGTAGGTGAACTGAACTGTTGCAGGGAGATGCATTCCACTGTCTCAGATTACTAGCTTTTAAGTTGATTAAATTAAGGTACCGCTTATTTCCCGAAATTATGCAATACCTTACTACATTTACGGGACTAATAACATCAGATGACCTTACAAATTATATTCACATGAAATATGTCGGATAAGTGGCAAGGATAAGATCTGTCAAGAGCAGTAATATATTTGCACAACATAGAAACGTGAGAAACTAGCGCTAGATCAGAACGAAAGGTAAGCGACAAAACCTGGTTTCCGAAATTTCGAATTCTCTATTAGATTTGAGCATCGTCATTTTTTGTGTCATATTGTGAATATGGTCTGCGGGTTGCACAGCTTATCCAACTTAACCATTAATTGGGTTTATAATTCTCAAATTCCACAAGCAGACGACGCCAAATATCTTGGCATGCACCTGGACAAAAGACTCACATGGCAAAAACATATCAAGACCAAACGCACACAGCTCAGAACTAAATTCCACAAGATGTATTGGATGCTGGGACGCCATTCGGAGCTCTCAACAGAGAACAAGATCCTGTTATATAAAACTATACTAAAACCGATATGGACCTATGGCATACCCTTATGGGGTACCGCTAGCAACTCCAACATCGAAATTCTTCAGCGATTCCAAAATATGGTACTGCGTGTACTAGTTAACGCACCATGGTACGTACCAAACTTCGTCCTACACAAGGACCTGGGAATTCCAACAGTACGCGAGGAAATCACGCTCTCCAGTAAAAAATATCAGGCACGCCTCCGGAAGCACCCGAATTCCTTAGCGACGCACCTCTACGATGAAGAAGAAG